CATACCCACCCACCCACATCCATAAATATGCCACATACACAGCCCCCCACAAACCCCATACCCCTCACCCCTCCACAGTCCCTTACAATATACAAGGGTAAGACCTCACTTTGAGCTATTATGCAGTTATTTCTATATACACACACACACACACCATACAACACACACAAATCAGGACAAAAATATTTTTTTAAAATAAAATTAAAGTGTGTTATTGTCAATGTTTGATTTTTAGTATACAATTTGTTTTCTTTCAAGGTTGCTGACCCCTGGCATAGACGAGTCATTTTAGTACATCAGAGAATATTTTCTAAGCAACTCACAGCAGCTTCTCTCAGCTTCCATACAACCCATAAATATAACTGTAGAGCTACACTACTTTGAAATCTGAACATTCAGAATTTTGTATCCTTGGTCACATGATAAATGAGAGAAAACAAAGATGGATTTTTAAACTAACACAGCACAAGATTTACCTAGTGATCTACCAGCCTTAGTCCAAACTCTTTTGTTCTAAGACAGAAAATGGCTACGTTAATTTTAATCATTATACTGATTTCTATCATAAGACTATAGAAAGTTAGACTGTACAACAATGTGGACAATAGATGTTCAAATGCACGGAAGGAAAAATTAAAATAAATCAAGCAGGTTCTCTTCAAGTAGTTGACCTGAACAGCCATGTCCACACAAGAAACTCAGAAAACTTGAAGTGAATCAATTAATTGTGAAGACAATGAGCATAAACTGAAAACAAATTACTTCTTAACAAGGGTATCCATGCAGAAATAAAAAATGGCCTTATGCTGCTGTATCTTAGCCCTGTGCTGAAGTAGGAAGAAGTGATTCAGAATAGCAAGAAATACACTGCCAGGAATGGTAATCCCACTGGATGCTGGTTTAGTGCCAGGGCCACTATGTCCTGAATTTGTTCTAGTGCCAAGGCAAGAGAAGATGGTCATTCATCCAAGATGTATCTTGGTACATAAAGCTCACCTGTTCATCAATGCCAGTACCAGTGTGGGCCTCCACATATAAGCAAGAACTGCTATTACTACTGACTGCTTTCTTCAGTTAATACACCTCACTCCCAAATACTCCTTTGCGATTTCAGAGGAGTACTTCAAATCCTCCTTGTTTGCCTACTCCGAGTGCATTTGCCACTGGGGTTTTCAAGAAGTAGACTGCATAGGTGGTCAGGCTGCCTCATCCCAGGGTTGGTGTCAATGTTCTTGGTGTCTGACATAATAAATCTGATAGTGGCATTTTTAGCTCCCATAAAACTGAACATGAGTAGAGTGCTTTGTCTGCTATTGCCTGGTTAACCGATTGCTTAATTCCAACTTGGTGAATCTCTTCTGCACAAAACCAGGCAACAACTTTTGTGGACTGCTGAAGACCCTGATGACAAATTTGAGCCTTCTACCATCTATTTTCAGGTGAAGGAAGAAAA